GTCTCCGTGCCATGCATGCTCATAGTTATGCTGCCAAGAGTCGCTGTCTGTACACTAGGAGAGCAGAGTGGCGGCAACGGTAACAGAACAAGAGTATGGAACGGACCGAAAGGTGAGGCAACAGATGGGGGGACACGGCAAGGGGTGGTGAAAAGTTGGCGAGGATGGGCGTGGATGAGACTGATGGGATGGGCATACATGGACCACTGAGAGAAAAGGGGGGAAGAGGTGGTGAGGTGTGTTGCTGAGATGAGGTGAGGCGGCACTGGGCAGCAGCAGCAGATGCTGCTGCAACAGGTCAGGCGGCGCGGCGGTGCACCCAAAGATCCCATCAAAAATGAGCATCTGTCTTTTTGGCGGCTGTAGGAAGTGAGCCCAGATACGCATATCCGCGAATGATGGCCCGAGATAACCAGAGGCCGCTTGCCATTAGAAGATGAGATTCGTACGGCTAAAAGAGACAGACCATTGGAGAGAGCGGATGGCAGGTCTCCCTGGCTCGGCTGGGCACCCATCTCAACTACTTAGTAGACTCTGGAGGCTAGAGCTACTGGCCTTCGCGTACACTCTTCTCGTCCCATCGGTCCTTGGGGCTTGTTAGATGCCGCGTAAAGAAGAAGAAGGGGGAAAAACTAGATCCAAGCTCCAATGAAGGTGTTCGAGCTGGGCGTGTCTTGAAAGTGTTACATGTCCAAATTAGCCGCTCCAACCGCTTAAACCTGCCCTGGCTGACGTGTTTGCAGGCAAGTCAGTCCGCTGCCCTCCCTCCGCCCCGTGGTTAAGGTTCCTCCGCTCGCTATTCGGTATTGGCGACCGAAATACCTACATGCAGCGGCGGCTGGGGAATCTCTTGACTTTGAGATTCATGTCATGCAGCCAGTGACGGGCGATGGGTAGCTCTGCCGGAACTACCTACCTAGATCAACATCTCGAGTAGGGTTCAAGTGCTGATTGGTCTCTAAACTCGTTTGACTCGGACTAAAGAGGGGAGTGCATGGGGGCCTTCAGGCTGCCGCTCCGCTCTGGATTTGAGGGCAGACGATGTCTGGCGCCATCTCTCTTGCACCCCAGAGCAGCAACGACAACCACAACCACCACCACCACCACCACCACCACAACGCACCAAACCTAACCCAGTAAACCGGGGTAAGCGGCACGCCACAGTGGGATGCCCCTTGCTCGGTTGTCGACACGAACTGCTCAATCTGCTGGCGGGTTTGATCACGTTGCTCTTGGTGTTGTTACGGATACAGCAGCAGGATGATGATTCCCTGGGCGGCGCCGTTGTTCAGTGGGATGAGGTGTCGGGCACAGCGGCATGTTGCAGCAGTAGCAGCAGTAGCAGCAGCTGAGCACCACACCTCAGTGAATGTTGGGGGTTCGCCATGCCTATTTTGGGGAGTGTTTCGGCGCGTTGATCCGCTAGCCAGGCCTGCTCCGGGGGTCACGGAGTTGCAGTCCGGAGTCGGGGCAGTCGGGGCTTTTGACCACATTTGTTTCGGTAGCTTTGACGTTTCTAGTATTTCTGTTCTGGTCGATAGTGGAGGATAGGTAGCTGGATTCGGACGTGAAGCTTCTTGGCAACTGCGCATCATGATTCAGCTTAAGATAGCAATCGTCGACACCAGCAAGGTGACATCTGTTTTGTTTGGTTTTATTTTTGCTGGGCAATGGACGTGCGCCGCGGAGTCCTCGGGGAAGGGGGGTTGGTGTTGCGGTGCTGTCATTGCACCACAATGCCCAGTGTCACAGACATTGTGGTTATCGCCAGAGTCTGATTGGACAAGACTCTGGACAATGGATGCACCAGTCTGCTGTGGCTTGAGGAAGTGGCGTCGACTAAATTTCCACACTTCCCGGGCAGCCACTCACCTCACGGAAGTCGGCGTCCGGCACAATCTAGCCCCGGATCCGAGGAGTCGGGTCTGTGCTCCATGCTGCACGGTCCATGCTGACTGGGTGGGTCGTTTCCAGATGTTGCAGGCGGTGAGCCACGGAGATAAGGTGTGGCGCGAGCTGGCCCAGATGGGAAAGATAATGGCGCGGCTGGCCTTTGACGTAATGTGGCTGGTGCCTGCTGCCGCCTGCCTTTGCGCTCGGCAATTTCCAGAAGGCAGGGCCGAACGAATGGCACCCAATTTCTGCAGTGGTGGAATCCCAAAGAAACCCATCATTGTGCTGAATCATCTCGCCGCATCACCATGCTGTTTACCACCTGAATCAGCCTCGGATGGACCGCCCAAGAAGACGATAAGGTCGCGCATTCTCTTTGCCAAAAGCTCTCCTGTCACGGTCATGTCGAACCGCAATAACAACTCTTCCCTGCGTCCACTTTGTCGATTTCTGCCCCTCCACCCCGCCAAAAACACAACAAGCCGACTCGCACTTCGCCATCCCGACCATATCTCGTCCTCCCCGAAAAGATAACAAACCGAGCGACGACTCGACGAGCGCATCATGGACGAACCATCACCCGAGCTGCAGTGGTCGGCGCCCTTCGCTGTACTCCCACCCATCAAATCTGCTTCCAAGGATCTCCGCGGCGACAAGATCCTACTCCCACAATCCGCCCTCGAGCAACTGCTTGCAGCCTCCCCGAGACCGCCCGCGCCCTCCAACTCGTCATTCACCTCGTACGATCCGTTTAACCCTTACGCACGCCAGCACCAAGCCGCTTATCGAGATACCTCTCAGCAATTGCCGAATCCATTAATGTTCCGCCTGGTAAACCAAAAGAATGGAAACGTCGTCTATGCCGGTATCCGCGAGTTCTCGGCTGAGGAAGGCGAGACCGCCCTTGGATCATATCTGATGGACGCGCTGGGCATACTCCCTTCTGACTTCAACAGTGATGGTACCGGAAGCAAACCGGTCGACTTGACAGTCGAGATGGACCACGATGCTCAACCTCATGTCACTGTCCACGCGAAGCAGCTGCCCAAGGGCACCTACGTTCGCCTCAGACCTCTGGAAGCTGGCTATAATCCCGATGACTGGAAGTCTTTACTCGAGAGACAATTTCGTGAAAGCTACACCACTCTCACCAAAGACACCATCTTATCCGTCCGCGGAGTCAAAGGCGAGCAATTCAAGTTCTTAGTCGACAAATTTCTTCCTGACGGCGACGGTATATGCGTGGTCGATACAGACTTGGAGGTTGATATTGAAGCCCTGAACGAAGAGCAGGCGCGGGAAACGATGCGCCAGATCATGGCCAAAGCCCAGCCTGGGACAGATAATGGCAGCTCCAAAGGTGGCCAGATCGACGTGTGGAAGAATGTCGATGGACAGGTCCTGCCTGACGAATATGTCGACTACGAGCTTCCGTCTTGGGACCGGAACCGGCCCCTCACAATCGAGCTTGGGAATCTGCCCGACGAGGATGCGGTGGATTTGTTCGTCAGTCCCAAGTCAACTCGGCAACGTGCTCTCCCGCGCGACTCCGAGCACGTCTTTGGAAACTTCGATCCTCCAGTCGACGGGAAAAAGTCAATCACAATTCAACCCACAAACATTGAGCTCGAGAACGCAGAGGAACTCCTCATCTCGGTGCATGCGTACCCGTCATTCAGCGCCTCCGGCTCGCCGGTCCGTTTCTCGTTAAGGGCAAAGGCTGCTTCAGAAGACGGATCTCGGGATGGGCCAATTGATTTGACTAACGGTGATGTCAGGTCGCCGGACGAGGAGCAATGTGACAACTGCCAGCAATGGGTTCCTAAGCGGACGATCATTTTGCATCAGAACTTCTGCTTGCGAAACAACATCACCTGTCCAAAATGCAAACGCGTTTTCAAGAAGGGCTCGCCTGATTGGGAGGCGCATTGGCACTGCGAGAATGACAACGCCTTCGGTGACTCGCCATTCAGCCGGGCGAAGCACGAAGACATCCGACACACTGAACGGGAGTGCTATGCGTGTAACTACAAGGCCCCGTCCTTAGTAGAGCTAGCACTGCATCGTACGAGTGTATGCCCCGGAAAACTCATCCTTTGCCAATTCTGCCATCTCGAAGTGCCCCAAGAGGGGGATCCCTTTAACCCGTCTGCAGAGGTTATTCTATCCGGTCTTACGGCTCACGAGCTGGCAGACGGTGCCCGCACAACAGACTGCCACTTGTGCGGGAAGATTGTTCGTATGCGCGACATGGCGGCGCATATGAAGCATCATGAGTTGGACAAAGTCTCTCGTCCCAAGCCCGACATCTGCAGGAACGCAAACTGTGGCAGGACTCTTCATGGGGTGGGCACAACGGGTACAGTCGGAGCAAGAACCGCAATGGGACAAGGCCCTGGCAATGATCTCGGCCTCTGCTCCCTCTGTTTCGGGCCTCTGTATGTGAGCATGCACGACCCTGAGGGGAAGGCGCTCAAGCGTCGTATCGAGCGAAGGTATCTCAGCCAGTTGATGACCGGCTGTGGTAAAAGGTGGTGTGGAAACGAGTGGTGTCGTGCAGGAAGAGCCAATTTAGGGCTGGAGGCCAAGGGAGCCAGCGCGCAAGCCGCTCTTCCGCTCGTGAAGCCTCTGGTGCAGAGCATTCCGAACCTGCAAGAGCCGATGCATTTCTGCGTCGACGAAGGGTCCCAGAGACGCAGGAAGTTGGCAGAGATGTTGGCTGGCGAAGGAGTGTGGGATTTCGAGTGGTGTGTAGCGGCCTGTGAGGCAGCCTCGGGAGATCTTGACAAGGCCAAGGAATGGCTTGGCAACTGGGCGCCGACAAAAGCAACTTGACGTATAGATAGATGTACAAGAGGCGTTTTGGTATAGAGAAGAGGTTGCGAAGCATGATACCATATTTACGTAGAGGGCGGGGGTCACAACCTGGGAAATGATGAAGAGCCAAATCAGAAAGTATGCGTTGTCGATCATTTTGTTTGTAATGCCTGCAACACTCCACCTCGCCTGTGGCTATGGATTATCCTTCAGTTCCATCCGTACACATGAACTGGTACAGGTTGATCCAAATTCGCATCGCGTCATGCCTCCTATGAAATCATTCCTGCTCATTGCAAAGGACGGTATTCGGTATTTTGGCTGACGTATGGGGGTCTGAGGTCATCAGTAAGTTGACCCTCGAACCGGATGCTTGAGAAGGATCTAACTTACCTCAACAGGTTCTTGGCTCCAACGATGGCCGCCGTACCTCCCGCATAAATGCCCAGGAGTCTACTCCAACTGACGTTTCCATATGCGTTTTGACCGACACTTATAGCAACCAAGTCGTAAGCAAGGCATCCGCCGAATATCCAGTCGCTAGCAGTCGCCAGAAGGCCAAAACCAACGCCCGTAAGCACTTTCACGGCAGTAGACGGCTGTTGTCCGACAAAGTAGGCTACGGAGCCATTGTGCAGAAGGTCCAGCACGCCGATTCCAGCAAAGGTCTTGGCTACGATGTGAGTGAGGACGGAGTTGACAGATTTGGTGTTCATTTTCGGCAAGCGGCTGGAGATGAAGTAAAGCTGAGCGAGACTGTTGATGACGACAAAGATGTTGGCCGTCTTCAGATCCGAATTGTTCCAAAATATCATCCAAGCTGGTGTTTTATATCAGTCTTGCTCTCAAAATGATTGGAAACGAGCAAATCTCACTGGCGATGCAAAAGTTCCCGATAGCATAGAACGGTGCAAAGTCAACCATTGTGGAAACGTCGGCGTCCATCTGCTCCGCCTTCGGATCGGCCTTGTACAGGCGCCAGAGCCACGCCAGCTGGAACAGCTGCTGAGGGAAGAAGAAGCCGGCGATGAAAAAAGGTTGCGGGGAGAAGAAGGAAAGGTTCGCGTCATGGACATCTTTCATATTAGGGGTGCTGAGCATGCCGTAATTCTGGGCGGCAAAGTCGACGATAAACGACAGGGGCGCGAGCCACCTGGCGGTTGAGAGTGAGATACCCATCATTGAGATTAATGTACAGTACTAGGTGAATACGATATTCCTTCTGGGTGGTGGAGGAAGAATACAGCAAGGTGTTGGGAAAAAGTAGAGGGGTAATTGTGGTGGTCTTATTCAGGTTACAAGACAGGCATGGATGATTGCTTGCATTTCTGTTGTACGCCAGTATGTCGATGACACGTTCGGTGTTCCCAATTGGCCGATGACCGACGCTCCCGGATACCATAGAGGTTCATGAGCTCATGATTTTGGCTGGATTGGTTGGCTTTGTGCACTTACGTCGCCAAATAAGTGTCCTACGTCATTGACTTTTTGGGTTAGGACAAGCGCCGATGGGGTCCGTGATGACCGCCCGATTTCATCGGCCCCACTCCGAAAGTCCTTCACCCGAGACGGCCAGTCCCCGGCGGTATGAATATGTTCTCGGCTCTAACTACACAGCAGTGCCCGGTGCGTAGGCATTGAGGGCAGACAATTATGGGCAGGTTAAAGAAGCCCTGATGTGTTGATTGTATATTATTGAATTGATGTTGAGATTATACTCAAGTCTAGTGAAAGGTATCTATTCTATGTTGCCTTGACGCTTTTTGAGTCGCTTATCGGACTGCTCGGACTATGTAGTTTCGGTGGCGTTTGTATGACTTCGGAAATGGCTTCGAGGTCCTTGTTGGAATCTGGCCGGGGGATAGGATTTTCCATATTTGCCGACGTAATGCGTTGGATCTCTGCCATGTCGTCATTGGTCGGATCTGATGCTTTCGCTGGCCGGCTCAGAACGCTCATGGGATATGTGAGAGTTGATCCCGTCAACCCTGAATCGTCGCCGAACACGTCTTTCCCTCTTCCATTTTCTTTGGACCCAAACGGACTGCGTCTCCTAGCATGGCCTATAGTTTCTACCGGTGGCAGCTGCGAGTCGTGGTTGGTTGTCTCAAACATTCGTTGGTACCAAGAAAGCCTCTGGGCCAGCTTTCGTAGAAAAGGCACGCAGGAGCAAATAATCAAGGTGCTGACTTCAGCCTCTGACCATATAATCGGGACGGCAAGGTCGTGGGTATCATCGAGACCCATTTCAGTCACGGAATGCATCCGGATAACAGAAATCGCACAGACCCTTACAAAACTCGTCAGTGTCGAACCAGAAGGCGGATAGTTATGGATACTTGACTCACATCAAGCCAAGTGATAGCATCGCAATGAGACCAAGTCTCTTGATGATGGGCAACTGAAGCCTCCAAAGGAACGGTATCGGTTGAATGAAAAGGATCAAGTCCGTGCAAAGGTTGAAAGCAAACTGTATGTTTTATCAGCATCCGGACGGAAGCGATCATTCTGATGAGCAAGCGGACACTTACGCCAATCCACCACAGCACAGGCAGGTCCAGGCAGGTTCCTACCATGCTCGGAATCCAGGCCTTCGCAATCGGGTGACACTGGAAAATTGGAATCATGCTTTCTTCAATCGCTTGGCAGCACAGGAATACAACGATCGTCTTGTTGACGATGATTAGTCGTCTCTCGGGAAGCATTCGGATGTAAAGCACGGCAAAAGACATTTTAGCCAGCGCAAGACCGTAGCTGTACGTTGAAGATGTCGATATCGTTAACTGCACCGCAGTCAGGACGAGCCCACTTGCTTCAATTCTAATGGTCTGAACATACCTTGAGGAATCGCTCGTAATTTACTGGATCGACGTCTTGATGATGGCGGCCAAAGCCTGCATGAGCCGCTGTCCCGGAGTTAGCTTCCGCTCCACCAAGAGCAAAGAACACTCCCTACGTACACACAAGAGTCTGGATGCACATGGACATGGTGAACACCTGGAAACATGTTAATCAATCGTTGTCTCCACTGATCGAGAGCCGCGCTGGCACGCCCACATACCCAACTTGTAACAATAAGGACTAAAACGATTTGTCAGAGAGCACTTCGGGACTTCAGGGTAGGATTTTACCTACCATCATCGAGTCCATATGTCCTCAGACTTGCCCTGACGCCTACGCGTACGGATATGACCAGCGTCGTAAGGCACATCATAGCTACAGTAGCACCGATGAGTGGTTCCACCAAGCTGTCTGCCATTTTGGTAGGCTCCCGTCACCGCCACTCCACTACTGTGTTCTGGATTTCATGGGAAGTTTCCGAGCGGAAGGATCAGTTTCGCGTGAGAGTCGTTCGTCGCTTCTCAGGTAGTGGCACTTCACGTCCCCAAGTCCCAGGAGCACTGGAGGTTCAATCCATCATTCTGCGCACGTGGGTACGCCATGGAAAGATATGACGATTAGGCGCAAAGTGTCGAGATGCTGGGCAGAAAACCAGAGTGTGTCAAATATCAAGCTATGACATAAGGGGGCAGTCTACTTTTGAAGATCTGCGAATTGGGTGCCGGATATTGGCTGCGGCGGGCGGATGGAGACCCCTCCGCTCTATCCATGGACAGAGTTCGTGAGGAGAGCGTGAACTAGTCAGGCTCACAGGATATTTGGGAAGCCTTTACCTTGTGGTCAGGGATGAAATTGGCTAGACGCGAGCTACTCGCAAGGCTTAGCTGCCCCACGGAACTCCTGAGGAAGCAAAACCTTGCCCACGACCGCACTCAAGATCAGGCGATTTCTGTCCAGTTTGTGTCTTTGATGGGCTAAATAACTTCCTGGTCGGTCTTTGGATTTCGTTGTTTGGGAGGGGAAGAGAAAAATAGGCTCCGGTTAACAAGGGCATGCTGGTGTGAAGTATCCCGCCCGGCCTAGCTTTCGAGGGGAAGACGTGCGCAGCCCAAAGTTTAAAAGTCACGGTTTGCATCATGTCTCTTGCGGCGTTTCAAGAACCGCGAAATATACTTTAGAGAAACCCATGTCGAAGTTAGATGGGAGCTAATCGGAGGCAGTTTCCACCATCCAACGAGCGTTTCTCTGTCTTGGCGCCCACGTGCAATTGTCAACGAGCCCTGGCAAGTTCACCGGAAACCCGTCGCTTTCAGCTACCACGCACACAAAGAGTAGTTCCTTGCCTTGCCATAGAAGGAGATAATTAGAGTTGAGCTCGTTTTGCGCTTGCTTCTCCGTGCTGAAGTTCTGTAAGGATCTTGACGAGTCAAACGTCTGCCACATGTCGATAGCGTAAGATGTATCGAACATGTGCAGGTCCAGCCCTCGCAGACCTTTTGCAGAACGAGACGTCGACGGCGCAAGGTGAAGGACGGCGAAGGAGGTTCGCAGATTGAAAGTTGAGGGGGTTGTCGAACAGAGGGCATCTCGAAGATGGGTCGAAGCCACTTGCAACGGCCTTGCAACTAGTATGCTATAGACGAATTTTGAAGTAAGATGAGCCTGATAATCTATAGCCATCTGGAACGTGAAATACGTCAGTCATCTCATAGCATCTGAATGACGTCGTGATCAACAGCAATTTTACTTCATTGGTTTTCTGTTTCCCCGCCAAGCTGCGACCTCGTGTGATTTAGAATAACGACAGTGTAAACAATGACGCAACTAAATCTGGTGCTGTTCAGCAACTGGCTCCTTCACAGCGCAGATCTGCGAACGTTGGTAAAACATTATTCCTTCGGCAGAGAAGCAGACCAGAAGGGCTTCGCCAACTTCCAGTCAGAGTGACTTGACACGAGATGTCGCACTGGTTCAGTTACGTCGGTTCAGGAGTGAACCGAAAGGGGTTTCAGCAAGGCACTCAATATAACATCCCATGTAGACAGAAAAATAGCCTCTTCGACCGAAAAAAACTGACATTTCGTTGCGAAGCCCTTGCTAATTGCGGCCCTCTCGCACTTACACATGTAAGGTAGTGGCTTGGCTTTATGCGCCAGTTTATCAACCAACCGTGGCAAGGACTTTCGGCGTTTGACCCCAAAAGCAAGACATTGCCCTTCGGGCTTTGCTTATTCTTGTAAAACCACAACACACTGCTATGCGGTATTTTTCCGTACCTAGTACGTTGGTATTACAAGGGCGCTTTCCCTAACTATATGGGTTTCACTGTCGGAAGCTATAGAGACGTCAGAAACTCTTGAACTGGCCAGTCAAGGCTTTGAAGAAGAACGTTTGCTGGCCAGCGAGGGCTTTTAGTCATTAGGTGCTATGTCTTGCTCATAACTGAACCTTCCATGAGTGTTTACATTACATAGTCTGAGATGATGATCATGGGAAGCGTGATATTAAGCAATTACTATTAATGGTGCAGCATGTCTTCATCCCGGCAGCACCTCTTCATGTCAACGGAAGCACTCGCGCTCAAATATGAAGAGTTTCAAGGAGCCACATGACTCAACCACGGGCTGGTCAAGTCTGTGTAAAAGCTTGCTCCCTTCACGGTTGATGGTGCCCCCGCAGCAGTAACATTGCAGTTCGTGATCCAGTTGCCCTCGGAGTCGAGCTTGTTGGACACGTACTTCCTGTAATCTTCCAGTAGACATGAAGATCCGGGTCCGTTCTTGCAAGAAGGCAAAGGGTAAACGGCGTCGTTCAAACGGATACGAACATAGGTTGCGTTGTGGGATCCGCTAGGAGGAGATGGCGCAGTCGAGTTGGAGCATCTCTTGACTGGGGGAGAGGCGTGAGTAGCGTTTCCATACGTGCCATTGCCAGAAACAGCACAATTAAGTCGCTCAAACGCGATGGTACCTCGCATCGTGGTGTATCTAGAACTGACCCAAGCGCGGTCATCATCTTTCTCAGTGGGAGAAAGCGGTGCTTGGGAGTCCATAACTCCAGAGGCTGTCACAAGCTCATTAAGCTGTCCATCGTTGAGAAAAGAGACAATGAGCTTCGGTAGCGTGAACGTGCTTCCGTCGGTCCGTTTTCCGGTTACGGAAGGGCCTTCGCCAAACAGGGCCATAAGCGCGTTCAAGTACGGCGTCATCATCTTGGATGGGATGTCCGTGCCAGGACCAACTCCATAGTAGTAACGCAGGTCTTGGAAGTACTCATACTGGAGGAACTCCTCGTCCGAGAATATATCACACCAAGGTGACAGGCGGCCGGTGATCTGACTTTCATATCCGCACAGATAGGGAATTTGCGACACATCGTTCTCGGTGAGCGTGAGATTGCTGGTGATCAAGGCTTGCAGGCGCTCGAGGACGGGGGGGATCCAGACATCGTTCCATTGAGAGACGTAGTCGCCGCCTTCCGTGTCAGCAAACGTCGGACACATATCCGACGGGGCCAAAGAATCGCCGATTCCGCCAGGAAACCCTTTTGAAGTGACTGATACGATATCTCCGAACAAGGTGGCGTTGGTCCCCAAAAAGCCACGGACAAAAAGTTTCGCAGTCTGTAGAACTCGGGAATAGTTGTTGGCCCAGACCATGAACTCTTCGCCCTCGTTGTAGAGATCTGGGTATCTTTCCAGGTCAGCAAACTTTCCTTGCGTGCAAGACTGCGGCATTTACCTTGTTCTCAAAGTGTATCCCAGGTCATGCGCTTCCTTGTAGCCAGTCGGGCTCAAGTTGGCAATTTGAGACGAAGGATTAGTTAAAGCTGTACGCCAATTGGGTAGAAAGCTTAGGCTACCAGAGGCCGTGTAGTTTCCAGCTTGAAACTACGAAACAGCTTGTTAGTTGTAGCTGGGGGTGCAAAGGATTCAGTTGACTGACTCGCTCCTGCATAGACACCCAGCCGTTGTAAGCGCCGGGATCGGGATAACGTGAGCCATGCCGAGAGACGTAAGCTGCCTGGTCGACGAAGCAATTTTCCGGAATATCCGATGAAATTTCGTTGACATTTGGTCCTGGACCATTAAACGATCAGTGTCTGATGACATGGAAACGCCTGAGAAGGCATCGATCGAGGTAGTTGACAACATACCTGCATACCAAGGGCCATTAGCGCCGAGGTGCTCCAACGGGTGCTCAGCAGTCTCGCTAGCCGGAAGATTAATGTCTTGAACCGGCGCAAGGAAGCGCGAGTTGGCGCTCACCAAGCTAGCGGCGAAGCAAATGAGACGGAGCTTTGAGATGGCCATTTGATCTTGATTACTTCCTGACTGGCGGTACGAAGGGCTGGCTAGAAACGATCATCTTTGCGTCTGGAGTCATGGCAGGGCATTCTTCAATTATACTATGTCTCCCTCATCGTCGGCCCGGTCATTACCGGGCACGTGCTGTTATCGTGTTGTTTACGTTCGATGGACTTGCGCGGACAAGCGTGCCGGTGCGCCCAACGTAACATTGGCATCAAGGTGCACGTGAGAAACATGCACATCTGATTTGACGATTTGAACAAGGTTGTGGATACCCAACGGTGATTCGATCCCAGAAGAGACGTCGTACCCGCGGCTGCATTCGCTAGCGGCGCCGACCCGCCCCCGGAATACCATGTCGAGCCGGGGGACTACGTCAGGCAATATAATTTCACCCGAGGAAAGGGAAGGCGCTGACCGAGTCTGCAAGATGGTTCACTGCACACCCTGAAGTTCGAAACTTCGATTCGCCCGAGAGCACCAGGCCTTCTCGACATGAGAGTCAACACCCGTTCATGCCCCTTTGTTGAGCTATTCCTGGTATGTAGCATTGCCCGGTGCCAAACATTCGAGTCCGCAAATGTGGCGCTGGCGCTCCATAGTCGTACGTCGTTCAACCTTGTTTCCGTAGTGAAGAACAATGACCTCGAATCCTGCCATTGTGCACATGAAGCGGTTGTCCGGTACTTCGTCCAGGCATCAACAATCTCAGGTCCCGGAAGGGGAGACTTGTCGATCTAGGCGGGTGCCACATCTAAGTGAATGGTCTCTGAGTTGGTTCTGATTTATTTGGTCTCCAATCGCCGATTCCGAAAGAGCTTCTCGCGAGAGCCGTGTGCTATCGGCAAACTCGCTCGCACTCGACGGATATTCTTATCAACACAAGAATGGGATTTGTACAAGAGAATGAATGTCGGAGTTGGGACGTAGAATACATAACATGCGGAGGCTACTCCAAATAGGGATGCCTTAAACGCCTTGGTGGCAGAGTGATCATGAGTAGCGGAAGGTCAACCGAAGAAGAGATTTTAGCGGCAGGCGCCGACATTATTCGGTTTAAAACCGTTGCGTGAACGAAATGCTGCCCAGCCACAAAACAGTCTGTGGAGGTAAATGCTGATGCGAATATGAAGTAGAGGCCATAAATTTGATGGTAGCATAATCAAATCATTTGAGATTTCAATTCGCGCCACACTGTGGTGCGCTGTGCCCCTATGGCGGTTCAAACTGAGGTTTCAATTTGAGTCGGAAGTTGAATAGGAGATCTAAGAGGCAACATACAGAACCTGGGAATTGGATTGAACTGACCGCGGATGGTTATTTATTCGCTGAATTACACCTTACTTCCAACAGAGAGTGAATAGGGAATACAGTGTCTTAGACCAAGAAGCCTGCTGAGAGGTGTTCTGAACGTTTAGACTTGGGGCCGTCTATCGAATTTTATAGATCAAAATTGATCAGTCGTTCAGTGTTATATAAGGAGTGAATATCTCAAGCTGGGTGTTATTGAAATTTTAATTTCATCTGTTCTAGCCTCAGTATTATAGGTAGTTAGGGCGTCTGCAGGTAATACCTTAGATAGAATTATCAACCAAGGCAGACTTCAGAAGCACTTGTGTGTTTATTTGTTACTGTAGTGTGATTGAAAGAGGCGCTAAGATAAACGAGAATATTCTTTTTTGCGCCATACACCACATTATGTGGTCTAATAGCATGCACTTATACATGCTGAGGTCGTTCAAAGCACACATTGCAAGAACGAATGTTTCTTCTTCACATAAAATTACAGCTTGTGACAGGATGATACCGTCGCCTTTGAGCGATCCCTATACGAAACACATCTGATGCGCAGAAATTGCTCCAGGACCATCAGAGAGGAAGACTATTAAATCCCCGCCAAGACCCGTTAAGGCCTCAATCTTGCTTCCAGACGGGCTGTTTCCGCGTTACATGTAGGTCTGTACGATTTTCGGCGAATAAAGTTAGCCTGAAATATGTCACATAAGGTGTCAGGCGAGGAGCTGTTTCACAGAGGCAAGGTTTGCGAGGAGCAATAGTAAAAGACTATATAAGATAGAACTAAGAATACCTTAGGAGTAAAGCTAGCCCGCGGTCTAAAGAACTTGTATTTGGATAGCTGTATCCATAAAGAGTTTGCTGAAGGATGTCTATTCTAACTCAAACACTTTTGATGTCGTGCATGATAAGCTTTGGCCGTGTGCTCGTGTCCAAGATTTTGCCCGGCTCCGTTGTCTCGGGCTGTCAAACTGACCCGAGAACCGATCGGAATCTAGAACTCAACCGAGCCGACTTCTCACTGAGAAAGGTTCGGCCTTAAGTGGCAATAAGGAGCCGTTCAGATCACGAAATTTGCAAAAATACTGGTTACAGATTCCAACATATAAGCGCCAACTCGCCTGCATGTCGTAACTCTGCATACGACCGCTGTCAAGTGTGGTTCTAGCGCAATAATTTGCCAGATCCATTAACATCCACCTCGAAGCAGTTGACGGGCACCTTGGAAATTGAAGCATTCATTAGGTATCTGGATGACGAACGATATAAAAGGTTTATTGGTTATCAACGCAATTTGCTACCATCCTGTTGGAGTTGTCATGTCAAGGCCTTCGAACGAAGACAGTTGGCGGTTGATGATCTCTTGATCTGGCATCGTCAAAGGGTCCCAAGACGACGCCCCCGCACCAAGATATCGTTGAAAAAGATGTTCCATCGGAGGATGATCTCCTTGATGATGGTCTATGGCAGTATGTCTTCCCTCGGGATGAGACGGAGGTTCCGTACCAGCCCATGACCTACTCCAGTGAGGCACCATGATCTCGCGGATTCTTGTGACATAGGCGGGTTCGTCTGGCTGAATGCCATGTTCGGCACAGAGACAGTCCTCTCTCACCTTCCACGCCTTCAATACGAATTTGGCGAGTGCTATGTTGTACTCCTGCGAGGGATCAAGGAACTCCGGGTGATGCTCATAAACCGCCGGGATCTGTTGCCAGGCGCGCTCAACCAGATTTCCTGAAGTTCGCTGACTCAATTGACCGACCATGAAGATTACCACATCAAACTGGAAAAGAAGCTTCAGGAACCAATGGAAACCTTGGTGCTTATTTGATTTGTAGGCATTGACGTTCTGCTCAGTAGTCATGACTGACCACTTGAAGAGATTGTCCTTTGGCGTCAAGATCTCACTTCCCCATTCTGGCTGTTCCTGAGGAGGGCGTGTAGTTTCTTTGACCTTCTGGAGAATAAGAGCTTTCAAAAGCGAGGCGAATTCGTGTACTGGGCCTGCAGATGGGTCAGAGTTCTTCTCCAAAACTCCATTCAACCGGTCTTGGAGTTGTTTGATGAACGAGCTGATCTGCGCCGATTGAACTTTGCTCTTTCGTCCCGAGCTGAGGGTACTTAGTTCGTTGTACAGCATCAGAGCCTCGATATCAGGCTGCTGCTGGATGCAATGCCCGATCTGGAAGACCAACAGCGGTATCACCATCTCCGTGGGACCCTCACGCTCCTGATACTTGTCTGTAGCGCCCGGATGCAAGTCTGCATCGTTGAGGTTTTTCGGCAGCTTGCAGTCGCTCGGACGAGGGAGCAGTGACTGGCTCAAACCGGAAATCATGGAAAACTTGCAGTCGAGCATGAATATTTGCCACCAGATGCGGCGCCTCATCTCTGTCTCGAATGGGGGCAGGCCGAGAAGCTCTCCGTCTCGATGGAGACCCATTTTCTGCGCAATTCGCACGCATATGCCGTTCAAGATCCAAGCTCCGTGTATGTTACAGCGGCCTTGGATCGACATCTTGCCGAAGTCAGTAAACATCTAGCTTGGGACTGAAGAGCGGCTTACCATGTGAAGCACGAGCGCCTGAAGAGTGGTTATGTCGTGCGACTTGAGAAAGTCGGCGCGCAGCAAGCTTTGCCTGACCCCGGTCGAAAATCTCCGGAAAGCAGCATTGCATGAGGAGCCAAGCATCGCCATGCACTCGCCTTCAGTTAAGGTGACAATTGACATGCTGAAAACTGCAAACATCAGGGCTTCCACATTGTTCGGAAGATGTCCAGGACCACTCGCGGCTTCCACAACAAATGGCTGCAAAGATGGGGCATGTACGATTCTTGTTAGGGAATTCACCCTTTCCAAGAAGGTCTGCCAGAGCCGAAAAATTTGACTTGCGGTGGGATACAAATCGTCGGGGTGCTGATCAACAGGAGAATCGCCGCCTACAAGCAAGTAATCGCTGTAATCGGGCATGGAAGCTCCGGGATCCCATTCATGCTGTGGCTCAGGCTCTTGCCCCTCATCCTCCTTTTCGACGAGCTCTTTCATCCCACGCAACTGCAGGTCATCAGTCAGCCAGTGTAGTAAGCAGATGACAGTGGAAAAACTTGCCTCTTCGTACACCGTTGCCCAGAGGAAGTTGTCAATGAATCGAACAGAGCCATCCTCAACAATCACCTTGCCAGCGGGTTTCCAGTTGATCTGAATGTTTTCATAAAAAGGAATACTGGATGCTTGAGGCGGTGCTATGGTGCTCTCGTGGTCCAAGGGTTCTTTACTTGCAGCAGCATATTTGGCCAAGAGTTCTTCGCATCGCGCGAGTCTCGCCTGGAGCTCTGCATTTGGACGTCTCCTTTTTCGCACTGGGGCTGGAATGCTAGGGCTGCACGTAGCTTTGGACTGGTGCCGTGACTGGTAAGCTTCATCGTGAGGGGAAGATGTTGGGCACGGTGTGAAAAGACCAGCGGCGACACGGCCGAATCGTTGCGCGTCAAGGTGGGCAAAAGACAGCGCTCCGCCGTTGACGGCGAACCACAAGATGTTGAAACTTGAAGCTCGAGGGTAAGAGTGACATACCTTGATGCAGTTCGAGCATGGATATTTCCGGTCGCATTTGACCTTGCGGCGTTGACATAGAACACACGCCAGGGGCCGCGATGACTTGGACGAGGACTTTTCCGATGGAGATGCCGACATGGCGCGCAGGACGTCAACGATGACAGCGACGCGTAGAAAGGAGTACACCGACTAAAATCTGGAGTAATCCGGCTTGCCAACAGCGGGGACGGGTATATACAGCAGGCCGGTCGGGAGTCGGTCACAGATCGTCCGATAGGCGATATTTCCCAAGGCAGGAATCTCTCCTTGCTGTTCCTGCTCTCGCACATGTAGGTGTGCGTATCATTAGATGCTGCAACTTTGGGCGTTGCTGTCGTGTGCACGCAGTGCAGTAGTAGACATGGGCTGCCTACAAGCCTCTATCTTTGAAAAAGGGGCTGGGAACCTTAAGGTCCAATCAGTGCCCTAGCTCGGCGGCACGCTCGGCTTCGAATGCCTGTCTCAGTACAGGCGCGCGTACGACACAGTGACGCTATGGCGCAATTCCCAATTAGATCAAACGCCTGGTCTCTGGCAGCGATAGACCAGAACCGAACCCAGCGCTTTGTAGCGGTTTGCTGCGCAGAGGACCAAATGGCGCATGGGATTGCACCAGGTCCGTGGCCACAGGGCGGTCGGCTGTTCAAGGTCTGCTTGTCTTCGAAGGCCAGTAATCCCCACGGCTAGGCGAAACATGCCCAAGAGATGAACTACTAGGCAAGCAAGAAAACTTTGCCTTACTTAATTGCACTGTAATGGATTCCGCCGGCGGTCTGAAAACAGCGAGAAATCACCGTAATTGATGCGTACGACTCACCTACGGATGGGCAAGACCCAGCCAACTTGAAACCCGTGTGAACTTTCCTCCTAAGCTTGTCTTTCTTTATAGACACTGGTTGCAACTGCCCAGTGCCATCACTATGCATGCTGTCGAGTCAATCGTGCTCTGATATGCATGGCACGGCTTGCGGTTTCGTCGCCTTGCCCTGACTTGTCGTCTGTGATCGGCAAAAACCCACTTCGGCGGACAAAAAGCTCTCTCGCAGTCTCGCTTAAACTCTGTTCAAATCTACAGAGTCAGTGCCATGCTTGCGACATGAGCAAAACCAATCACGCTGGATGTTCTTTTTTCGTATTGCTCGTACCAAATGTACTTAAAATACAGCAGACCTTGCAGCCCAGGCCTCTTTAAGCCACAGGCTCTGAGCCAAGATTTGCTAAAGTCAGGAGTTCGCCAATACATACATCACTTAAGAGCCCCCATCCACGGTCATCTGATGCTCAAATCTTGCTAATTTCGGCCGTACATAAAGCAGGCTGTAACAATAGCTTATTTTGACTTTTCAGGTTGGAAGGTCTGAACTATGAGTCTATATGTACGGACCAAGATCGATGTGGCCGTCCCCATCGAGAAGCTGGAACAAATTAAGGTCTCCAAATCCATGATCTCCGTCATTCCTCCCGTCAAGGATTGACAAATCTGGTGTCCTCGGGAGCGAATTTGACAGACTCAAAAACGAGGTATCCATGTCTGCGAAAGACGGCGAACCTAGGCCCAAAAAGCCAGAGACGGGATTGGTCTTGACTGCCGATTGGCGGTCTTGCCCCAGTCCCGGAACAGCATCATGAACAGAAGAATGGGCGATTTGCTCAGAGTCCACGTTGTCCCGCGGTACTAGCCCAAACAGCTGTGACGAGCTTTCCGTCCTCTGAAGACGCTCCTCTAGCTCCTTCTTTTCGAGGTAATCTAGTGCAGCGTTGAGAAGCGACTTTGCAATAAGAGAGTACTGCGAAGCATGGGCATCCTTCTTTGCGAAATGCTCTAGCACCATGATTGCGTTCCGGGTGTACTTTTCGAGGATGCGGCCGAAGGACCCCAGTAGACCGACACCCAGGATAAGGGAGGACGCAAAAAGCCACGACCTATTTCAATTTTAGCGTCGTGCAACAATAAATCCAAGCCGCATTACTCACACGATAAGTGGCATTTGTCCATTCAAGTATTGCCTCTCAGTCAAGCCAACCAGTATGTCGACCATGAAGCTTGCGGCATCTATGCAAGCATCGGCGAGCTTCGATTTGCCAGAGACCAGACCAGATCGACTGGCCGAGCCACCAGCGGATCCTTCCGTCAAGCGCTTGTGAAGCTCGTACATAAGAAATGGTCGCGAGACTAGAATCACAGCTGAGAAGTGTAAGTTAAGCTGTGAACTGACTCAGCCGTCGACGGGCGACGAGCTTACCGTAATAGTATGAGCATAATACTTGGCTAGCACCGGTGACCTTGCTTGGGTCCTCCCCGTCCAACGATTTGGACACAACGTCTTTCAAACGTTGGAGCCACCGGACAGACCAATCCCGCAGCTGTCTTGAGATACCCTCTGTCAACTGGTAGGAGACCTTTTTCCGCGAATACACTTCGACGACAATACCTTCAGTGATGAGAAATATTTGAGCTGAGGCATTAAGAAGGTCGAATGCTTCTTGTCCAGTTGTATCGTCCGCTCCGCGGTATGGAACGCTACAGTCAACATCAGACGTTGCTGGGGGCCTGCCCATGGATGTACTCAGAAAGAGGTCCAGTACACGCAAGCTCTTCCAAAGACGATCTCTGTGGTCATGTCTTGTCAGCGCAACAAGTCGTTAAGGAGACAGGTCCTATCAAGTTGCCTTACCGCTGTCTTTGAATGTCGGGCCCAAAGCGAGAGTTGATTTCTGTACGGTGAATTCCGATTGAATATGCCGCCCTTACCGCGATTCCTTTTCAAAAAGTATCAGTCTAGACTTCTTGGTTAAGGTTTATGCCTGGGGTTATCTAACCAAAGAACAAGAATGCCCCATTCATCTGGCAAGAGCCTAACATGTATAGAGTAACTAGAATAAAGGTCTGGATAGTTGGGACGTTGATGTTGCCACTGAGATTGGTAAGTGCAGTGTTGCGCGCATACTCGAAGTAAGAAGATGCCAGATCTTCCTCTGCAGACTGATATCCTATCGCAAGGACTAGGTAGAAAGCTGCGGAAGCAACGTCTTGCGATCTATGGTCTTGTTGAGCCCAGGCACACACCTCGTTCACGAGACGAGTGTCATCGAACAGGTCAACCAAACCACTGGTCTGCATTGGAGTGAAAGCATCGGTCAACTGGAAATCAAGCTAGTGGAGTTCAAATAGTCTTACAACGGCACGGTACGTGGTAATGGCTTGAGTAATGGTAGCCGGGTGAAGAACAGGCTCGCCATTGCCGGAATAATGCGCAGGTGGTCGAAAAGAGGGATTTTCGGTTTGATGAGCGAAGACCTGAGGGTCTACTCGAGTGTGGACAAGTTGCCGTACTGTTTGGAAGAAAGATAATGGCGCACAATCTCCAATAAAGACTGGCGAGGTCTCATTAACTCGTGAAGACGTCAAATTAGGGGAGACGAGACATACTTAGCTTGCCTTGAGCATCACACAGCAGGCGCGCTTCACGAGGAACCTCTGTCTCCTCCTCCGCCAAGGAATCGTGGCCAGCCTCCGTCGCAACATGGGCCTGATCGGCGCCGTTGTGCACAGACGGTGACGGTGTTCTTGGAGTTGGCGCGGGAGCTCTTCGTCTCTGCTGTGGTGAGTATCGACAAGTTGCTGGACGCTGGCGTCTCAAACAGTAGCTACATGGCAACTTTCCATCGCATTTGACTATTCTCGTGGTTAGATACATGCCCTGATTTATCAGAGATAACGTCTCAAGCAGAGTGCGTCCTAGCAACATAGCCGTTGAATCCATTTGCAATTGCCATCTGCATCTGTGTGCTGCTCGCCGTAGGACTTGAGCAGCATCAGAAAAGCACAATGTTAGGGGCAGGTACCTTTTCTTGCTTTGCAGCTATCGCAAGCATTCGCGACCCTTGTGCGAACATAAGTGTGCGGTGATGCCTCCCGCACCGAGACATCGTCCATTCTGGTGCAACCGCCGATGTCCCTTGAAGTAAAGTCGAATCGCGGAAGAAGGAAGATCGGACGCGGAGCAAGAAAGCCAATTGCCGAGGGGTCAAGGTTTTCCGCACTGCAACTGTTGCGGCGCTAAACCTTGTCGGGCTTCCAGGATGGTGTACGTGAGCAACTCATGACGGCAGTGCTCACAGTAGTTCCGAGAAAGGACACGTTATCGGATGCACTGTGCTTCCCATGTCGAAACGCGAACCCCCAGTTTGATCCTCGGATCCTTCGCTTCCTTAGCCGCCCACACACGACTCGGCTTACGGATGCTCTTGTAATACTTCCAGCAACCCGGCCGTTCACAGCCGCATGCTGTGTGTTTCTCATGACCCGTAGACCGCAAACGTCGACGCATTCTGTTACGTGAGCACATCCGAAACCGCCCGGAGGCGGAAGACGGCCTACCATGGCTGGACATGTGTGAGTGCATCTGTTCCTCTTCTCATGCCTTACCTTGGGACCTTCAAAAACATGGCCTTTTCGAAGAAATGACTGAGTTCGTGCTTTTAGGACCATGATGGACGACGTTCTCATTTCAAATTGTATGCCGGACAGTGGAATATAGCTTCGCCTGTACTGACAGCCGTCACAAGTAACAACGGCCTTGCTTCGATCGTCCCTGCGATTAGTAATTTCCCAAGGCCCTTCAACACAGAATATCTTCGTGAAGCATGTGCAGACCAGATTAGTTGAATCTCCTGTGTCATTTCCACGAATGCATGCACTTTTGGGGGATGACGGCGGGCTTTCTCGGTCATTTCTTGATTATTTGAATTGGAACAGATGCCTCTTCTCTGCCAAACTACCCAAGCAGTCGCTGCCAAAGTAAGTTCCATCTGCTGTGTATGTTATTGAGGCTCTGCTTACTTGCCAAAAGTCTCGCAAAAATCATCCAAGCAATGACTGTCGTGAAAAACGAAAATCCGAACCCAGCAGAGGCTCTAGAATCCTCGCTACAGATGATTGATGGCGACATCGTCCAGGCCATACAGGCTTTGAAGGAGATTCAACCAAGTCCCGAGCCAGACCTTGAGCACCAACTCCGCCATCTGATTCCTGCATTGGAGAATTACAAGCGGGTGCATGATAGTAAGGACTCTGAGTGTGCAGAATACCCCTTTAATCGCAGTGAGCGGCAGGTGAGAGACGCCTTTGTGGCGCTGTTCCCAGAATGCATGTCGGCCACAGCTCCTAGGTCACGCGCCAAGACGCTCATGTCATTGAAAATTGCAACTAAACCTGATTTTGAGACCTTTTATCTTGGGCCGTATGAGTTTCCGAGAGTATTGAATGGTCTGTGGCAGCTTTCATCCGCAGCGTGGGGAAGCGGAAGTACCAGCAGGCAAGAAGAAGAGCTGGTCCATCTTGTGCAGGCGGGCTTCACGGCAGCTGACATGGCTGATCACTATGTTCTTGTTATTCCGAGTCTCCCTACTTCCTAAACTGACTGGATGTCTCTAGGGCGATGCTGAGCTAGTCTACGGCGCCTTCAGGAACCGATTGTCGCCAAGTGTTAGGTCACAAGTTCTCGCTGCAACAAAATGGTGCGTATTTGCACCTCCCACGGAGGCTGTCACAGCGAAATCTGTCCTCGATGCTGTAAAAGAGAGGTATCGACGACTTGGAGGCAGGATTGAATTGCTTCAGCTTCACTGGCACGACGTAAGTTCGGACCCGAGTTACGCTGTGGCTATTTACATGTAGTTCATACCATCGCTGCATTATTATTCTTCAAAACAGCATCTCAGCATACTGGTTGAACTAGTCCGTCTGACAGCAGTCCATCCGAACCTGATATCAACGATCGGGCTCTGCAATTTCGATGCGGAGCACACTGTTGAAGCCTGCGAGTATCTGATAGCAAAAACAGGCTCTGTCGGAGTTGTGTCAAATCAAGTTCAGGTTTGTCATTTCGTCTTGATCCCATGTGTTGCCTTTGACTTCTTCGAGATCATGCCAACGCTCCAAAACCTCTAGTTTTCGGTGCTCGATTCCAGACCACTTCACCTGATGGCCGGTGTTTGCCAAAGATACGGTTTGAACCTCCTGACATATGGTTCTCTGGTAAGTGCCTGATAGTTTCTGGACATCCCTCGTGTCAGTGCAAGATGACGAATCTCAGAAGTGTGGCGGACTTTTATCGTCTCAGTGGCTTGGGAAACCTGCCCCTGATATCTATGCAGAATCAGCGAACCTGACGCCGTCGCAAAGAAAGGTAAGCAGAGGAGAACGGAGAATTGCATTTGAAACCTAGGATTTAGCTGATCCGCCCTCTGAAGTATCACGACATGATCATGCACTGGGGAACCTGGCGAGACTTCCAGGACTTGCTAGAGATCCTTTCGACCGTGGCCCAGGAGCACGGGGTGAGTCTTTCAAATGTAGCAGCTCGCTGGGTTCTCCAGCAGCCGGCTGTCGGAGCGATCATTGTAGGGACACGGCTTGGGGTTTCTAGCCATGTCGAGGAAAACCTCGCGACGTTCGAATTCACTTTGAGCGACTGGGATCTCGATAGAATCAACATCATGGCCGTTGGATCCAATCGGGTGCGAACCAGACGGCTATTCACAGACATTGGGGACTGTGGAACTGAATATCGAAATGGTCATTAGTTTCTACGTTCGTACATGGTTGGCTTGTCAGAATCCACGCGACGGATTATGAATTAGTAATGAGTGAAAAGACTTATGTTTATTAACGAGACTTGAGCCTTCACTAAGCATGTCAGCCGTGCCTTTAATTCAACAAATGAGACGTGGCACTCAACTATAGATTAGCTCATTGAAACTAGGCATTAAACAAGTTGATTGGTCATGATGGATGATCGATGTCACATGGCCGATGACATGCTAGTGATCGATTCGCCCTTCCTGAATAACCCGATGCTCCTCGGATCATGTGGGCTCGCATGGGTCCTAGAGCATAGACACTTCCGACATCCGAGCCCTCTTCCGCCCACACAACCCAGAACGCCTCTCGGATGCAACTTTCCCCATTAGTGGACCAGTTAGCTCCTGAATGGAGCATCCAGGTTACACGCGGAACAGAATTCTTCATCCCCTTGCATTAGTTTGGTATTTGTCTAAACCGCCATGCTGATGTCGTCAATCGCTCTATGGATATCACAAACTTGTCTCAAAGCAAAATTCACTTCTTCCGTCCTTGATCCAGCTGCCCTGCCTGCAAGGTCTCGTCCCTCGTTTGCTTCAAAAACGGCATCAATGCTGTGCCGCCCGTCCCCGTAAGTTGGTCATCCTTGCTAGCAGAAGCACTGGCCAAGTCGACCTTGGCGGCAGTGTAAGCCTTCTTGGATGGCAGAACAATGTACCGTGTGACGATCTGCAAATGCTTGTTTCTGAACTCCGTCATGGTCTTTGTCGCGTTCTGGTACGCGTCGCGAAATCTCTCCTGCTGCGGCGTGGACGCAGGGAGCTTGGCAAACTCGCGGATGCTACCCATACGAGTAACATGCTCCAAGAAGCGTTTGTGAGGACCCGGCATATAGTCACGCACTTCCTCGTGAAATGCGGGTGTACCCTTCTGAGCGGGTGCGGTCTTACTCGCGTGAGGGTTGCTGTTGCCTTCCGACTTGTGTTCCACACCCATGACAATATCGAGAAACTGGATGAGAGAGCTCTGGCCGTTACTGCCACCTCTGAGCTGTTGCCAGCTACCACGACCATCTCCTTCGTCGTAGAACACGCCATTCGGTAGCCCTGCTGCTGCCATATTCTTGCTGCCGGCAAGGTATGGACGAATTTCATAGAAGAAAACCATCGGATCGCAGTGTTCGTACATGCGCTCCAGCAGAGCACCGATCTTTCGGATATTTTCGGACAAGCCCTCGAGAGCCGTAGTGATTGTGGCGTAGTCTCTTGTCTTGATTGATTCCAGGGCGTTCAACATATCTGTCATAATGCGAGCGCCTTGTGCCTCCATAGCTACCGACACTAGGTAGAACCAAGCCTCATCCTTGGTACCGGTAAAAGTGTGAAGGGATTCCAATGATTCGAGATCGGTAAAGTCGTCGGTAGTCGATAAGAAGTTCCACAAATTGAGACCAGCGTAGGTGGCAACCGGGGGGACTTCCAAATGCCTGGAAACCTCCAAGAGGGGAATCGAGACTGAGGTGGGCAGAATCTAGG